CCCCAATGGTCTATAATCATGAGAATAGGGGCTTTGTTAATACAACCATGAGAAACAGGACTTTGTATTTTTTTCATTGGTTAGTGCTCACTACCTAGAAGTGCCTGGCACATGGTAGATATTCAAGTTTTGTATTTTTATAAAATATGTTTTTATAAGTTTATATTCTTTTAATGAGTAAATTAACATTTTCCTCTGCTGTCCAGTCATCATACAGTCACATGGAGTTATGAAACCTAATTTTAAATTATATTTTCTAGTGATTTTGATCAGTATTTATTTCACTTCTAGAGATTTTGAGGGTTTTTTTTTCTTTTTGTTTGTTGACACAGATTTTCAGCAAAAACATATACAGTGAAAAAAATGGCAGAAAGATTATTGATATAACTTAATTAAGCTACTTGAAATGAGTAAATGTTTTTTCAAGCACTCTCTTAGAAAGTATTAAAAATTGGACATTTCTTAACATGCTACCAAGAATACCGTCCACTGACTAAATTATTTTTTAACAGGTTATGTCGCTTAAAAAAGAAAGCACAAGCAGAAGCAAATGCCACAGCGATCAGTAACCTGTTGCCATTTATGGAATATGAAGTGCATACTCAGCTAATGAATAAACTAAAACTCAAAGGAATGAATGCTTTATTTGGACTGAGAATTCAGATCACAGTGGGCGAAAATATGTTGATGGGCTTAGCAGTAAGTTCGTGTGTTTTGTTTTTCTTTTCGTGATGCCTGTAGTGGCAGTAGGTTCTGTTTTATGTGATTCAAAGGTTTTTAAAAAAAAGACTTATCTAAAGAAACTGGCATCAAAACTTTTAAGGGTTGAAGACATACGAAGTAATAAATCTGGTGATAGGCTTTCAAATATTTTATTTTTATATTTAATTATAAAATTATTATTTTAAAAATATAAAATATTGATTGATTTTTATGTTATCATTATATTTTTATATTCTGACCATAACCTCAATAGTCAGATTTCTAAAAATGATCATGTGCAGCCACCATTGTACTAGACTTGATTGTTTTTTACATTGCTAAAACAGGGTTTTTCCTTCTTGGAACTATTGAGATTTGGGGCTGGATAATGCTTTGTCGTAGTGGGTTGTCTCATTTATTGTTGGTTGTTTAGCAGCATCCCTGGCCTCTGCCCACTAGATGCTAATAACTTCCCTCCAGTGTTACAACAAAAAATGTGTCCAGATATTACCAGATGTCTTCAGGGGGCAAAATTACTCCTGGGGGTAAGAGGAACTAAACTAATTTTTACTTTTAATGAAGAAAGTAAAGCAATACCTGTGAGACACTACCTACTATTAAATTTCATTATAATTTTACATCTGTGGTCAGAGACAGTAGAATATACAATATGTGTTTCTTAAGTGCCCTTAAATTGTGAGGCAGTGTAAGGTTCTTTATCTCAGCTTCATGTTTACCTTTGCCTGTTAGGAAAACAATTCTGACTGGAAGGTTGTCAATGAGCATGAGCTGCCTTTATAAATAGCCTGAGACCCAGAGAACTAGATGTGCCTGCAAAATGTATATCCATCAGATGGAATCTGAACAACAATACTTACGGAAATCCTCTCATATTCTAGATACTTTGCTAGCCAGCATTTTTATGTTACTGGTACTTTTTAATTGGGAATCCTCTGCCATCTTTCTGAGTCCTGCATAGAAATTTAACCTAAGAAATTGATGGAACTTGGATTCTTTTTTTCAGTATGCATTTATACATAAAATGCTAAGTTGTTTCTTGCTTCATCCATGTTTTTCTATTAAGAGCAAATATGGAAATTTCTGTATGTAGGGAATAATTGTATGATGATTAATTATGTAATCACAGTTTTTTAACAAAAGGAATTTGTAATGATTAATAAAAGTAATCTGATTTATATTCAAATATTTGATATTTAGATTAACTTGGGGAATAAAGTATTCATTATAATTCATTTGTCTAAAACCTCACATACTTACTGAGGACTTAACATAAATGTATAAATTGGGCTAAATATAAAACTAGTTACTGGTGGGTCTCTATAGGAACTAAGCTTGATTCATACTCAGAGGTTTAAGAAGCATTGTGCCAACTGTATCAACTTCTGATCGTTGAGCCCCAGGAAACTATTGTGTAGTCCTGGTATAATCCTTCAATATCTACCTCAAACACTGCCTTTTCTGATTCTTACTAATCTTTTCTTTCTTCATCATTAGTGACACTAATTATAGCTGTTTGAGATTTTGATCTTTGTGCGTGTCTCTAGCTTGTGCACTCAAGGTCCTAAGAGGAGTTTCCATGATAGTTAATGTCTGATGAGTGCTGCTGGGTGTCTGTTACTGTGTTACGCCAGAAGAAATGTAATATTATTTTTACTTTACAAGAGGAGAAAATGTATGTTATGATAGGTTGAAACTTGTCCAAAGTGATACGGTTACATGTACTGAACCTGGGTTTCAAACCCAGGACTGCCTAGTTCTAGGGTCTGTGTTCTTAACTATCCTGGGTTGTTGCCTCATTAGCCATTGCAGTTAGAAAGTGTGAGAGGTGGTACACTAAGGCTTCACTTGGCACATAGGGTATTTTGAGGTTGAGCTTCAGGAACTAGGTCATGGGTGCAGTCATGGACACTAACGAACAAACCAGGAGAAAGAGCTCCTGAGAATCCATGCCATCTACTGCCCAGACTTCATCATAGAGTATCATACTCTTTTGAGGATGGACTTTTATAAAATTGACAATTGATTAATTTAAAAATGATAACTCAGTATTATCATTTGTTAATTATTTCCCCATTATTTTTACAAGTCGGCCACGGGTGTATATTTAGCAGCATTACCAATGCCTGGTGGAATTCAGATTGCTGGGAAGACTCCTAATGATGGCTCCTATGAACAGCATATATCTCATATGCAAAAGAAGATAAATGACACAATTGCTAAGAATAAAGAGTTATATGAAATCAGTCCTCCAGTAAGTAAACTAAATCTTCATTGTGAATACATAAGTTATTGTTTAGGTGTTAGTATAGTTTTGGGTTATCATACTTTGGACATGAAAGATTTTTTTCCACCATTTAGATATGCTCCCCTCATTACTCAGTCTTCTGCCTCCCTTTGTGTCTATGCTCAAATACCTTCTTTTTAGGGAGACTTTCTCTGACCTCCCTACTTAAGAATTGTAACTCTCTCATTCATTTTTGGTACTTCTATCCCCCTTTTTGTCTGTTGTTTATTAATGCCCAGTAGAATGAAGCTCCATGAGACTGTATCCCTAATGCCTATAATAGTTGCTTCTCGTATTTTTGATAAATACTTATTGAATGACTAAATAAATGACTTAAAATGTTCTTTTTTAATAAAAAACATTGCTTATCTTGGTAAAAATGTGAAAGAATAGAGTTTTTTTCAATTTGGGCATTTTTCTTACAATTTTCCTACCAGTCATTTCCATAGTCAGTCTTCTCACCAGCTTTGCAGTCAGTATCACAATGCCTCCTACTCTACAGATGTCTTCTAGCTTTACGTTGAATTGAAAGAAAGATATGTTGGAGGTAGAGTGAAACTATTTGTTTTTATGAGTCTCTGATAATGAAATACTTCTGTAAAAAGTATTTGAATAATATTGTTGCTTTTTTATTATTTCATTTATGCTATTGAATTTTGGTTAGTCTTCTGGTGTAGTGCACCAGCTTTAAACTTATAGCTTTCTAGCAAAGGTATTAAGCTGGGAAGAATTTTAAAGATATGACTAGAGCATTACCTATTATGCTTGCTTTATATTTCTATTGAGCAGTGTTAAATTCATTGAAAGTGTGAATGTGTTAATATATTTACTCATATAGCCTTTGTAAAAAAAGCTTTCAACGCTTGATTGACTGCTTGTTCACTCTAATTATTTTTCTTTTATAATTATATTTTGATTAAAAAAAAATATTTTTATTGATTTCAGAGAGAGGAAAGGAGAGGGAGAGAGAGAGAGATAGAAACGTCAATGATGAGAGAGTCATTGATCGGCTGCCTCCTACACGCCCCCAGCTAGGGATCGAGCCTGCAACCCAGGCATGTGCCCTGACCGGGAATTGAACCCCGATCGCCTGGATCCTAGGTCGACGCTCAACTGCTGAGCCATGCCCGGCCGGGCTATTTTGATATTTAAACATCTACTAATAGTGCTTATTCCTGTTGGGGAGAATGATTTGCAAAGCTATATGTTAGGATTCCATATATCAGTTCTAATGATATGAGCTGACTTTTGTATAACAGTGCTTATTAACTCCATACTTCTGTCCTGACCTGCCTCTTCCATTGTGTTTCTATTGTACCTGTATTTGCTTCTGTCATAGTGCCTGTTACATATTAGTGTACTTATAGTGTAGTGTAGTTTTTACGTCGTTTTTTACCATAAGTCCCTTGAAGACGGAGACATATTTAGAAAGTGTGAATTAAGTTACTTCATCTATTCAATAAATATTTATTGAGCTATTGTTTTAGTATCTTAGAAGAGGGAATAAATCTTTTGTGAATATAAAAATTTCAGCATGTATGGATTTCATATGTTGAATATGACTGTATTTCTACAAAAGGACTAATCGACTTTTGAGTATTCTACTACGGCTTTCCTTATTTCAGATACTGACTACATTATGGTTTTTTAGCATAACATCTCAATTTGTTTGGAAAAGTCAGTGTGCCAGGCCACTACTCATATTAAATTTTTGTGTTTTCAATTTTCTAAAACAGTGTATGCCCACCAAAAAAATGTGGATTAGTGTTCCTTATTTTAGGAAGATAGCCCAAGCTGAAGTGAATGCTGTTGTTTGATTTTCTTCTCAATACATTGAAAAATGTTTCTAGTGCAGAGGTGTAGTACCACTTAACTGGAGATAATTCAGTCAACCAAAGTTATCAACATGAGGTGCAAAACTTTTATTTGGAATAACAGCCCCTATGGTGAAACCTCATTATGAATCTTAGATATGTTAAATTTCAGATAGTTACGTTTATTAGGTCCATGATACAATGAAGAGAGGCATAACTGAATTTTAAACTACTATAAAATTGTAAAAAGAGGGATGGTTTCTATTGGGAACAACATTGCACTCAGAGTCAAAAGAACTGGTGTAAACGAGCTCTTCACTTACTGGTTTGCAAACCCAGGCAAACTATTTTACTTTAAACTGTTGCTCTTTCTCATTTTGTATTCATTATAATAGGCGCCCTGTCAAACTTATATAGGGCAGGTTAATTTGGAGTGCGAACAAGATGAATGGATGTGAAAGTATGCTATAGATAGCTGTGTTATGAAACTGGTGGTGATAGTCTTATGTAAGGTTATGCGCTAGTGATGAACATTTAAAACTACATTTTTGAAAAGCTTTTTCTTATACCTTCTTTGTTTTTTCAAAAGGTCCGTTACACTAACTATAAGCTATGCCTTTTGCATTTGTACTTACATATCCAAATTCTTCCGATAATCCTTGTTGCCAACAGATATTTAGAACCTCTAGTTAGCTCTGATCTTTGGCTATGTAATAGGAAAAGATTGATGAACCCATATAGGATTATACCATACACTGACTTGAAAAAGAGCATTATTTTAACTACCAAAGTTTATTTAGCTTAATAAGTTGCAGAGCAAATACATGTGCAATATATATATTATCTATACATGCACACATACATTTATTGTATTCCTCATTTTACTATGGTGAGCTTTGAAAAATTACCACTGGATAAGAAAAGATATAGAAGAGTCGGATCATATTTGGGGACATAAATCTTTAACTCTTTGTGGACTATTAGGACTTTTAAATGCTGAGCAGTAAATACCTTCTGAGCTAGGACTGCCATTTCCCTAGTTGTTGTAGTTTCCTCTCTGTACAGTAGATGTCAGTAATTCCTCACTAGGTCTGTCACAGTTTACATATATGTGTGTGTATACACACACACACACACATATATGTTTTTAAACATATATATATGTTTTTGAATTAGCATGTCAAGACTGCTATTATCAATAAAAGGACGTATCCATATATGCACTCTATAAAAGGTTAATTAGTCATAAAGGTTATAATTAAATATAGACTTTAAATATTTTTTATAGACTTTCCCCCATGGGTAGTTGTTTATTATAAAAATTTAAAACCAAACTGAAGTATGCAAATATCAAATCATTATATTGTGCAACTGAAACTAATACAACATATATGTCAATTATACCTCAATTAAAAAACACACCTGCAGTTTACAAAAAAAACACATTGAAAAGTATGGTCTTACATAATATAAAGCAATTATATTTCTTTTAGGAGATATCTGAAGAAATTATAGGATCACCCATCCCAGAACCTCGACAGCGCTCAAGACTTCTAAGATCTCAATCAGAAAGCTCTGATGAAGTTACAGAATTGGACCTTTCACATGGGAAAAAAGACGCATTTGTTTTGGAGGTACTATTGCATTGGAGTAATTTCTTAAAGTTTTTAGAAGATGTGCATTTTTATAATCAAATCCTAAATTGATGTGATTCTTTTGTATCATTACAACTGTTATAAATATAAAAAATATATTATTATAAAAATTACAATAAACTTGAGAATATCAGAACTTAGTAATACATTTTTTGTTTGACACCAAAAGACTGATAACAGTGCAAGTGGTTCTAGAAAAATTAATGTATGGGTTGAAATAAAATTAAAATAATATTAAACTCTTGGAGCTATTTTTTGTAAACTTGAATGAATTTAAATCAGAAGTTAAAGTGCTATTCTTTCACTTACTATAATTCCCTGCTTTATATGTTATAGCATTTTACTATAATTATAACATTTTTAGATGTGTTAATATAGGCACTGTGAATTCTGAATGTAGTGTTTTCTTACTGAATCAAAGGATGTCATTGAACTTTCATTATAAAAGTACATTCAGAACTAGCTTTTCTGGAGAATAAATGTGGTACAAAAGGTTCAGGGAGCCTCCTCCCTCACAAATCTGCTCCCCTTGCCCTCCTCTCTGGAACTGTTAGCTTTGAAAGAGATAGATTCCTTTAATATTGAAGGAAAGGAAAATAAATGAGGATGCTCAGAAATGTTCTGTAAGGTGCCAGTTGAGAGAAAAAGTCAGATGCCTTGATCTCAGTGAAGCAGGAAACTGATGGTAGACTTGTATTGGAATGGGATTGGAGTTCGGAAGAGTCTAGAACAGTGCCTATGAATGGGAGCAGGATGTCAGCCGTGGGAGATGCACAAGGCTTAACTGAGGTAAGAGTGTTAATTTGTAGAAAACTCAAACTGTATGGATTTGTGCTTTTTCTCATATTTTTTTACAGTCTGAGAATGGAAAAATAATGGGAGTTGGTAAAGAATATGTCAGGTTAAGGAGGTAAAAGGATTCATGGTACTGTTTAGAGCAGTGCTGCTCTAAGTGAGCTGTGACTACCTGTAGCATCAGCCCTTTCTGGGAGCTTGTAAGACACAAATTCTGGGGCCCTTGCTTCAGACCTAGTAAATGAAATTTTAATGGTGGGGCTCAGGAATCTGTTTAACAAACTCGCCAGGTGATTCTTAGTATTACCTGATGTTTGATCACAAGCATCATTGATATTTCTGATCCTGGGATCCTGGTTAAGTAGTGAACAGAAGTGTTTCAAACGTGGGCAAAAGACGGGGGGTGAGGGGCAAGGTGCAGATTCAGGAAGAAAAAGGACAAGAAGACATTGTAATTGGAGAAGGCTTGAGATCTGGGTGTGGAGTGGTTGCGGAGTAGGGACAAGGTGTGGCCATGGCTGTGGGCAGCTAAGGTAGAGCGGAAGCAAAGGGAGTCCCGGAGTCGCAGGGGTGAAGTGAGTGAAAGCTTGGAGTGTGTGAATCGACCTAGACCCCTGATGAACAGATGAACGTCAGCATGGGTCCAATTGGATCGTTTCATTCTTTCTTATTCACAGTGGAATATTGTGATATCAGAAAAGTCAGATTTGGACTTATTTTTTTTTAGACATGCCTTTAAATTTATCCCGACATAATTTTATTTTAAAGCAGTTGTGCATTTAGTCAAAAGATATTTTTTAATTACACTATATTTATTTAAACAAATAGAGATAATGATTGCTGAAGGTATGTTTTGAAACATGCCCTCATAAAGGATTGAGAAAAGGCTTGTTTTTTAAAAACTAAATATAAAATATTTCACTTAGAAGAATTTATAATTATTACTGTGGAGAAACATACAGATATTTTAAAATTTTTTTTTCAAGTTTTATATTTTAACTTAGAGAAAAATAGATCTATTTTTTTGGCTTGTTTTCTATTTTTTAAAGAAAATTTTTTAATTAAAAATGATTATATATTTACTATTTATGTAATAGTTTTAATCTTTCTATTTTCAGATTGATGACACAGATGCTATGGAAGATGTACATTCCCTCCTTACTGATGTTCCTCCTCCTTCAGGTAAAAAGAAAAAAGTTACCTTTGAGATGAGACTTTTTTTTTTTTGCACAGCAGTATTTTAGTTCGTAATTATTATGGTACTAACTTTATTTTAAGGATTTTATCAATGTTACACCCTGTTATGTGCTTTGCTGCTTCAAGGGGGAAAAGAGTTTTAAAATATTTATGTTAGAACTTAAATGAACTGATTTTTAATCCTTTTATGATTATACATTTTTAAAAAACAGATAACTTATTAAGATGGTCTAAAGTTTTCTGAAGGTATGAAGTTTTAGAAAAAGAATGAATGGTTCTGTTTTTGTTTTGTTTTTTAAATATATCTTTATTGATTTCAGAGAAAGGAAAGGAGATGGAGAGAGAAATAGAAATGTTGATGAGAGAGTCATTGATCGGCTGCCTCCTGCACTCCCCCGACTGGGGATCGAGCCCGTAACCTGGGCATGTGCCCTGACCGGGAATCAAACCGCGATCTCCTGGATCCTAGGTCAATCTTCAATTGCTGAGCCAACCCAGCTGGACATAAATGGTTCTTATAGTTAGAACTTCATGTAATAATTGAAAAATGTTCTTTTTAACACAAAAATAACTATTACCATATGTTTTAACTGTAATTTATTTTGACAGGCTTTTATAGTTGCAATACAGAAATTATGCCTGGGATAAATAATTGGACATCTGAAATACAGGTGAACCTTTCATTTTTAATTTTAAGCAAATAAAACATAAGTGATTTTAGCAAGTTCCTTCTTAATATGTGTTTTCTTTTTCACCTCCTTATTGCAATTAAAATGGTACCCTTTTTCATACCACATTCGTTGTTATTGTCCATGATATGGCAGTTTTATTAACTGTTACAGTTATTAATAAAATGACATGCTATCATATCTCCCATATATAGATGTTCACATCAGTAAGAGTAATCCGATTAAGCAGCCTTAACCTGACTAATCAAGCCCTCAATAAGAACTTTAATGATCTCTGTGAAAATTTGCTCAAGGTAGGAACCTTCTAACTAACTGTACTTTAGTTAAGACTCCTAAGAATCATGAAATTAAAAATGAAAAGGCATATATATTGTCTGGAAAACCTTACACAGTTGTGGGCTGAATTATTTTTTATCTACATATCAATCTTAATTCTGTCATCAGGTATAAGGCTAAAGTTGTCCTCTCTATCTTAATATACTATACTAGAAAAGAAATATATTTTAAGTTATGTCATAGCTTTAAACTTCATAGAAATCTGTTGTACATGTGTAAATTCAAAATACCTTTTTCTTATTTTTTATTACATTGATAAATATGATTAAACCTTATTGTCTGCTATAATATTAAAAAATGTATTCTTAATGTAAGGATAGACAAAACAAGTGGACTAGCTTTGTTTTAATCCTTTAAACTTTCCATTTGCTATAATATAATGTGCATTAAAATGTCAGTTTTTGTAAATTTTTAAATTAAAAGAAATGATATGACTAATATTTTCTATTGTATAGAGCCTGTATTTTAAACTACGGTCTATGATCCCCTGCTGCCTTTGCCATGTAAATTTTACAGTATCTCTGCCTGAGGATGAATTAATTCAGGTAATTAAGATTCAGTCTGCTATCAAAGAAGATTTCTAGCTTTTATCTGTTACAATATAAATATGCCATAATTAAATAAGTATAAGCTGTTTTACTTCAAAATATTTTGAAACATATTAGTATGAAGCAGACTGTGTATATTTCATTTTTGTGAACTCTAGTTATCTGAAGGTGGAATCACATTTGTGCTCCAGTGTACACACAGTAGGATTTGTACTTATGTGTGATTTCTCCAGTCCCCATCCTTTAGACAAGGCTCTTGAGCTCTTTCTGGAATATCTATGGTTAAGTATACATGTTGGGCTTAGTCGCAGTGTGAATATCTGAGTTGATGTATAGTTCTAACTGAGAATGTTGACCAGGAAAGGCAGATTAGCCAATTCGTATAAGTTGTTCCATGGTACTGAATACTGTGTCAGAAACTTATTTTGGCAATGATTATTTTGCTAATCTTACTGTTTCTGTGATTCTAGGTTACAGTCACAGCAGTTGCAATAACTTTTGACAAAAATCAGGCTTTACAGACCACAAAAACACATGCTGAAAAGTCATTGCAAAGAGGTAAATCTATGATGAATGGGACCATAGTTCATGTTTCTCTACATTATAGTTCAGTGATAAAATATAGAGGAGAGGTAGATTAAATATACGAATTGTTTCCCGAAGAGAATCTGCCACTTTTTGTTTATCTTTAATCAAGGTAATGGCGTGGGTAAGCATATGGCTGACTTGATACTTTTTACAAATGAATAGGTGGTTGACTGGTATGCACAGAGACACTGTTGTTTTATAGACTTAAATTTTATCATATTAATTCTGCAGCAATTTAAGTTTCCTATCCTAGTACCTCTAAGGAGGTCCTCAAAGCATTTGAAAAACTACTGTTGTAATAAGCATCACGTGTTTTTCTCAGGAAAGATCCCATAATATTCAACAGATTCTTGGAGCTGTTTACTCAGTAAAATTTAGAAAGTATCATTTTTTTTAGGTGTAAAGAGTGGGATTTTGATTTATTTTATTATTTATTTTACTGTTGACAGTATTATAGCTGTCTCCCATTTTCTCCCTTTTTGCCCCCCTCTACCCACCCCCCACCCCACATCAGGCCTTCCCCATCTATTGTCTGTGTCCATGGGTTATATATATATGTATGTATGGTCTTCAGTTAATTTCTTCCTGTCCCCCCGCACCCCCCTGAGATCTGTTATTCTGTTCCATGCATCCATACCTCCAGATCTGTTTTGTTCGTCAGTTTATTTTATTCATTAGATTCCCCATATAAGTGAGATCATGTGATATTTGTCTTTCTCTGACTAGCTTATTTAGCTTAGCATAATAGTTCCCAGGTCCATCCATGCTGTCTCAAAGGGTAAGAGCTCATGCTTTTTCATAGCTGCATAGTATTCCATCGTGTAAATGTACCACAGTTTTTTTATTCACTCATCTAATGACGGGTACTTGGGCTATTTCAGATCTTAGCTATTGTAAATAACACTGCTATGAATGTAGAGGTGCATGTATTCTTTCTAATTGGTGTTTCAGGATTCTTAGGATATAGTCCTAGAAGTGGGATCACTGGGTCAAAAGGCAGTTCCAATTTTAATTTTTTGAGGAAACTCCATACTGTTTCCACAGAGGTGCATCAGTCTGCATTCATACCATCAGTGTACTAAGGTTCCCTTTTCTCCACACCCTCACTAGCACTTGTTTATTCATTCATTGATGGTAGCCATTCTGGCAGGTGTACGGTGATACCTTATTGTAGTTTTAATTTGCAGCTCTCTGATGATTAGTGATGTTGAGCATTTTTCATGTATCTGTTGGCCACATGTATGTCCTCTTTGGAGAAGTGTCTCTTCATGTCCTTTGCCCATTTTTTAATTGGATTGTTTGCCCTCCTGGTGTTGAGTTGTATGAGTTCTTTGTATATTTTGGAAATTAACCGCATATCAGATGTATCATTGGTGAATATGTTTTCCCATAAAGTAGGTTCCCTTTTCATTTTCTTGATTTTTTTTTGCTGTGCAGAAGCTTTTTAGTTTGATGTAGCCCTATTTATTAATTTTTCCTTTGTTTTCCTTGCCCCAGGCAATTTATCAGTGAAAATACTACTACATGAGATGTCTGAGACTTTTACTGCCTATGTTTTCTTCTAGGACTTTTATGCTTTCACGTCTTACATTTAAGTCTTTTATCCATTTTGAGTTTATTCTTGTGTATAGTGTAAGTTGGTGGTCTAGTTTCATTTTTTTGCACGTACCTGTCCAATTTTCCCAACACCATTTATTGAAGAGACTATCTGTACTCCACTGTATGCTCTTACCTCCTTTGTCAAATATTATTTGACCATATTGGTGTGGGTTGATTTCTGGGTTTTCTGTTCTGTTCTGTTGGTCTATATGCCTTTTCTTGTCCCGGTACTAGGCTGTTTTGATTACGGTGGCTTTGTAGTATAGTTTGATATCCAGTATTGTGATACCTCCTACTTTGTTCTTCTTTCTCAAGATTGCTATGGCTATTCGGGGTCTTTTTTGGCTCCATATAAACTTTTGGAATATTTGTTCAGATCTGTGAAATGTGTCGTTGGTATTTTAATAGGGATTGCGTTGAATATGTAGATTTCTTTGGGTAGTATGGACATTTTAATGATGTTAACTCTTCCAGTCCATGAACACGGTATATGCCTCCACTTGTTTGTGTCTTCCTCTATTTCCTTTTTCAATAGTTTTCCGAGTGCAGGTCTTTTACCTCCTTGGTTCAGTTTACTCCCAGGTATCTTATTTTTTTGATGCAATGGTAAATGGGTTTGTTTTTTTAGTTTTTCTTTCTGAGAGTTCATTACTGTTGTATAAAAATGCCATCGATTTCCAGGTGTTAATTTTGTATTCTGCTACTTTGCCAAATTTATTTATTAAATCTAGCAGTTTTTTGGTGGAGTCTTTAGGATTTTCTATGTGCAATATCATGTCATCTGTGTATAATGACAGTTTTACTTCCTCCTTTCTAATTTGGATGCCTTTTATTTCTTCTTCTTGTTTGATTGCTGTGGCTAGGACTTCTAGTGCTATGTTGAATAAAGGTGGTGAAAGCAGACACCGCTGTCTTGATCCTGTTTTTAGGGGAAATGGTTTTAATTTTTGCCCATCGAGTATGATGTTGGCTATAGGTTTGTCATATGTTGCCTTTAGTGTGTAGAGGTATGATCCCTCTATTCCCACTTTGCTGAGAGTTTTTATCATAAAAGGGTGCTGGATTGTCAAATAGTTTTTCTGTGTCTTTTGATATGATCATATGATTTTTATCTTTAATTTTGTTGATGTAGTTTATCTTGTTTATTGATTTGCAAATATTCAACCATCCTTGCATCCCCAGAATAAATCCCACTTAGTCATGGTGTATGATTTTTATAATGTATTGCTGGATCCTATTTGCTAGTATTTTGTTGAAGATTTTAGCATCTACATTCTTCAGGGATATTGTCCTGTAGTTTTCTTTCTTTGCAGTGTCTTTATCTGGTTTTGGAATTAGGATAATTCTAGCCTCATAAAAAGAGTTTGGAAATCTTCCATCCTCTTGAATTTTTTGGAATAGTTTGAGGAGGATAGGTGTTAGTTCTTTGAATGTTTGGTAAAACTCACCTGTGAAGCCATCTGGTCCATGGCTTTTGTTTACTGGGAGTTTTTTGATTACTGTTTCAGTTTCTTTCCTTGTTATTGGCCTATTCAGGTTTTCTGATTCTTCCTGATTGAGTTTTGGCAGATTGTATGTTTCTAGGATTTGTCCACTTTGCCCAGTTTGTCCGGTTTGTTGGCCTATAGATGTTCAGAGTATTTTCTTATAATCTGTTATCTCAGATTCTTAATTTAAAAAGTTAATAATAGATTATTACTGAATAACTAGTGTTTTTCTTGCTTCTAAGCCTCTACAGATAATGAAGAACTCCTGCAGTTTCCACTGGAACTCTGTTCAGATTCGCTTCCTCCTCATCCTTTCCCACCAGCTAAAGGTTGGTTAAGTGAGGGAAATGCAAATGCAGATCCTAGTTCCTAGGTTTTTATATGTTTTGATGTTGTAGATAATCTTACTTAATCTTGAGATGAAGATTTATTCTTCATTCCCTCATTGTATGTTCATGTTCATAAAGGGGAGAAAGTAATGTTCCTATTTTAATTTCTCAAGTAATCTCAACATATATTATTGAGGTATTTTTTCATACGAGGCTTCATTTTTATATATCAAATGTATTAAAGTTTTATTTTCAGAGATTTTGATTTCCCATAATAATTATTTATTTACCCATGATATATTTGAAATTTATATTTGGTAATTTTTTTTTTTAGCAACATTTGAACCGTTACAAAAATTTTCATTTTGAAATGACAGCCAACTACTTATTTTCTTCAGAGGTATTTGGAGAGGTTTTGGGTGGTAATAATAACATGAGAAAGGGATATGTTCTTTGTCTTTTAGGTGCCTTGGGTACAACTGAGGTACATTTTTAGATGCTGCCATTTTTTCAACTGTAAAATGATTGTCTCTTAAGTTAATAACAGTAAATCTACTTAGATCTAACACTCTTTGGAGAAAAGGGTAGTTCCTCCCCCCATTTTTCTTCTGATTTCACTGCAATTTTTATTATAAAATTACAGGATTATTGTACTTTATTTTATAGCATTACATATATAATAAATGTCATTTGTGGTTTTTCCTAAATGTTTTATTCTGAGAAATGATGCATTTGTTTTTTAAAACCATATTAGCTTTTCTAATTATATTTTATATAATACAAGTGAAATTACTTTATGATTTCTACTTATCAGTTATATTATCTGATACCAAATTAAGTGTAATAAAGAATAGTTTTATAATCACATTGCATGTATATCAGTAGAGTCTTTACTAAATCAGTGCAAAGCCTATCCATGTAAGTGAATATCCTGTCTCTAATTTGAAGATGAAAAAATGAGCTCCTTTAAAATTCTGAACTTTCTAACATGGTAACTGGTCCTTTTTCCTTTTTGTCTAAATTAAAATTCTAGTTTAGGACTCCATGGAGAATTTTTGCATACTTCAACTTCCTTGAAAGAACAGAGAGGAAAAATCAAATCCAAAGATAATCTGAGTTCAGCTTTATAAATTAAATATAGCTTCCAGAATAAAAAGTAGAACTGTTAAAAATCTCCCTTGAACTGACTAGACAGGATTTTTTAAAATACCTACTTTATACAGAAACTTGTATTTAACACAGGGGTGGTTCCAAACCACTTTTAGTTATTTTATTTATCCTTACCCTGAAATGTAGGGGGGGGAAAACAAAACAAAAACCAACAAAAAAAGATTTGATCAATTGCTAACTTGTAGGACTATATATGTGTACTTAGAGTTCCTGTTAGCTATATTTTATTATGTCATTAATAGCTACTGAGTTCTGCAGATTAGATTTAAACTCTGTAAATTTGCCTTATCTGTATTGACAATTTACAGTCTCTGCAATAGCTTTCAAAATATTTTCAAAGGTAATTATAACTAGTATTTCTTGTCATTAGTATATTTTGTACAAATGATACTGTGTGAACTGAAGAACACGAAAAGAAGAATTTGAGTGGAATAAGTAATAACTGAACAGTACCTAAAATATTCACAGTTCATTTTAAGGATTGTAGAGAGGGACATGGGGGGAGTAATAAAGCAACAGATCTGGGATTTCTTCTCAGTTCTGCTGCTGCTAAGTGTGAGACTTTAGGCCAATTTAAAGCTCAGTTCCTCATCTGTAAAATGTGAAAGGATTAAGGTTCCCTTTGGCCTTTAAAATGCTCTCATTCCCTGGATTTCTGTAGTTTGTGGTTCTTCAATTATTAACATATTCCCATTACTAAAAACAAATCAAAAGCTAAGTTATGCCTAAAGTCTCACTGAGCTTAAAATTTTCCAAATAGCTTCCAGTTAAACCAATAATGTTTTAAACCATAGTGTTTCTTCAGAGGTGCCTCATGACTTCCCGGAGGCAGGGTGGGAAGGGCGGGAGCTGAGGAGGGCGGGGGAGTGAGTGGATAGGTCTCTGGACCCCCTGCCCTACCTCTGAACTAGGGAGCTTTGATTCAGTGTGCTTGTACATATCTGTTTTCTACATGTGATTTTGTTTGGAGAAAGGTTTCAAAGTTGGAAAACAACTGAATCAGATCATTTCACCTTTATTATCATCATCATCATCACCATCACCATCTTCATAATGATCAGTATCATCACAACCAATACTAATGTATATAAAACTTTTTATACTAAGTGCTTAACTGAAAAACCTATGTGCTTTTCCTTGAATATTGCATTTCAAAATCATCAGTGAACACTAAAAAGTTTATCTGTACCTGTTGTGAATAGTTTTGTAAATTGTGGTTTATGTTGCATGCTTATTTATTGTCTTTGCTCCCTCAAAGTCTTTTCAGGAGGACATGGGCTGTACCAAATTGATTTGAAAGTTATCTTAAAGAAAGTATTCTTGATGCTTTGAGGATAGGACGAATTTTGAAAAGGTCAAAAGAATGTTATAATAGAGCCTTATAAGGTGAATAGCAACTGGGCATTGAAACATGAAGAAAGGCTTTGTATAGTCAGTAGAGATATCTGGGAAAAGTTGTGTCACAATTCAGAGGAAACAGGCAGGAGAGGGAAAGGTAAGAGTGCTAGGAATAAATGCTCAAAAATGTCTCTACTTCCTTATGTGCAACTGGAAGAGGCTTAAAAGCCAACTACTAATACTGAGAAGTAAATAAATAATATAATTTTATAGGTTTTTTTAGTTCAGTTAGCTAAGTTGATAGAGCTTTTTCTTTTTTTAATTCTGAAAATTTTGGATTCTAATTATGTTCTTATCACAAATAGGATGATTTGTTAAAATTGTAATTTCTTTTTATGTTGACAGAATAGTTTCAAGAGCTAAGTTAAGCACAGTACGTTTATTAATATTTCCATCTTTTCACTTGTAGATAAACCTTTTCTTGTCTTTTCGTGTTGTTGGAAATGAGTGACTGTTATGTGAAGAAAAGATGCTTCAATTATGTGTATCCTAATTCTGTGTATAGAGTAAGCCTGGGCCTGAATTGTCCATCCATGTTCAATTTTCCCCTTCCATCTTTTGTTATATTTGGTTTTGTTTCTCAAGGTAACAAAATAGTTTGAGGTATGTCTCAAATTTATGGTGGACTTGGTGTTACCTTGCTAGTTATCTTGATTTTTCTGATTTGAAATATTAAAAGGTGCTGAGCTGAAGTAATTTCTTAAAGGACATTATTCTGTGAAGGTCATCAAAATATTTTGATGAATACTGTGAGTATCATAGATGATGTGGCATTGACATAAATTATTTACACACGAGGCGGTGTTATGAGAAAAAAGATGGCTATAGCAAACTTTTATACCACTTTCATAGTGTTTTTCTTAACTATTAATATCTACACTTCAGTTTTTCTCTGAAAAAGTTTAAAGAGGCCTTAAAAATTTATTTATATATATATATATACACACGTAAAAATATAGTAAAAATGGGGAAATCTGAATGAATATAATCTGGGTGAAAAGTAAAAAATAAATCAGTAAAACTTTTCTCATAGATTATAGTAAATCTCCAGAATTTTATACGTGTAATTTTCATAAAAGGTTAGCACATTCCTTTAGATACATTTCTAAAGATATAAATCTTGAGATATTAGATACCATATTGTAGGATTTAAGAACTTACATTAATGACAAAAGTGTATGAATTATATACTATTACAAATAAATCTCATATACTTTATAAATCTATAATAGGATAGCCATTTTCATTAAAATTCTGAGAGTTTTAAGACTTTAAAGCATTAATTAAGTCAATATTAGTTTTTATATACTGTCGGATAATACTGCATAGAAGAAAGTTTTTTATACCCACCTTGTTCCTACTTTCATTTTGCTTTATGCTGGCATGATTTCCTCATGCTCAGTGGCATAAGCTATACACTGGCAAGATTACTCTTTTCATTAAGCAGGGGCTGACTAATGTGGCAAGCATAGGCCAAAATCTGGATTTCAATATAAAAGACAACAAGCTGGCTTATTCCCTTAATGTGTTGTACTCCATAATTAGGTATCCACATGATAAGTTTTTTATCTTTATTATTGTAGGCTTATAAGAGTTAGGTTTTTTGTTCTTTGTTTTTGTTAAATTTGATTTTAAATGAGCTTAACTTTTAAAATTTAGTGACTTGCCTCACATTATTTTAAACCAGCAATTAGAAATATAAACCTATAAAAATGTTAAAGTTAGCTTTCATTTTTTTCCTGCCAACTAATATATAAATCTTTATGCTGACTAAAATATCTTTATATATTAACAATTCATTGCATGCCTGCTTTCTCTTTCTCTTTTTAAAATATATTTTGTCACAATGACCAAATGGTATGAATAATAAAAAGTTCTCCATGGTACTGATGGCCACAACAACCCACGGGAGGCTCTGAAAGGGAAGAGCTGCTGAGGAGAAGGAGAATGAAAGGAAAATAGAAACTAAAGAGAGGAAAATGTGTGGAAAACTTACTCATGAAATGGGAAGGAAGAAAAGAGAATAGATGGAGAAATAGAGTCAAAGACTCTTAGCTTTTTTTTTCTTAAATATATCTTTATTGATTTCAGAGAGAGAAAGGGAGAGGGGGAGAGAGAGAGAGAAACATCAATGATGAGAGAGTCATTGATCGGCTGCCTCCTGCACGCCCCAGACTGGGGATCAAGCCCATAACCCGGGCATGTGCCCTGACCGGGAATCGAACCATGATCTCCTGGATCCTAGGTCGATGCTCAGCCACTGAGCCACCCCTGGCAGCCGGAATCTTAGCTTTTTTGAGGCAGCTTGAGGACAGTGAAATCCAGAATGAGGAAGAGGGAGTAAAAAGCAAAGAAAAATGTAATTGAGTTACAGGAAACAGGGATTATTTGGAAGAGAATATAAAGGATGTTAGTGAGAGGAGGAGTGGATACCTCGTAATGGAGGCAGGAAAACAGAGAGGGATTGAAGAAAAAAGACAAGTGGCTTAGGATGTGGTACACCTTTAGTTGGAAGCTTTGACGACCTAGATAAACTGATTAATTGTCTTTGTCCCCTAAAGTATGTATTTCCTTTGTGGTTGAGTGTTTCCCTTTATGGACGATCCAGATTGAAGCTATCTATACCTTTCTTTATGCCTTAATAATTTTTAACTAAAATATGGCAATTTTGTTATCAATCCACCAATATTCAAATATCATAATGGACAACTATACTGAATGTTCATATACATCCTTTATGTAACTTGGTCATAAGCCAGATTTTATATTTATAAGACCTAGCTCAATGCATTATAGATTGATGGAAGTGCTTAAAGGAACATAAACCCAAATTTTGATCATAACTTAAAACTAAGAATGTTTAAATAGGAAAATACAGCATGAATTTTTAAAGACTCCAGATCCGCATATATTTTAATCTGCCAGATAATCTTTTCATAATTTTCAGGATTTTTCTTTAGTTTTGGTAATTTTCTTAGGATAACCAGATAAGATTGTCTCAAATATTTTTTAATTAGTAAGAGCAAAGATCTATAAATTCTAATGACATAAAGTGAATAAGTGGTCACAAGAGTTAGTGGTCAGTGTAGAACTTGATCATAGCTAATCAATACCTTTGTCATTGGTGTGACAAACTAGGAGAAAAGGAAGTCTTAAAGTTTAGAAGCATCGGAACACATTGAGGGAGGAAGAATCCTTGCTACATTTTTTTTGTTTTTGTCATCAGTTTTCTCATTTTCACTAAACTGCTTTTAACCAGGTGAGTTGCCTCCCCACACCATTAGGGCTTGTTAAATATCGATAGCTGTACCAGGCAGATAAGAAGACCACACGCGCTGTGGCCATGCCAACTTTCCAGGGTCATTTATTTGGGGATAACAGGGTTATCACTTACTTGTACTTCTTAAAAAAGCAAAATAATAATTTTATTGTATTCAGTGGGAAAGGAAATCCTAAGAAAAGTAGGCTGCCATGTGGCTTGATTGAGACTGCAGCTAGGACGGGGACCTAACATAAGAAGTATTTGTCTCAGGCTCTTCCACATAGACATACAGATGGCCCACAGCTAAGCGTTAGCCCTCAACAAAGCCCAAAAGACTTAATATTTCTTTCCTTATACATGAAGTGGTGTCTTTTTTTAGTATTGGCTTAGAGATTACGTAAGTATTTTTTAAATTTTTATTTCTTTTTAATCAGCATTACTAGTTTGTCAGTGAGCCAGACAGCTTACACCTGTAGTACCTTTTCTTCTGAAAAGCCTGCTACCTGGGAAGGCAAACTGCAGCCAGGAGCAGTGCGCCGAGAGCCCGAGGCCAGGAGATGTTGGAGGCAGTCGAGCCGCTCCAAGGTGCTGCCGGGCTGCTCACCCTGGGCCTTTCTCAGAGAAAATTAAGGTCCTAGCAAGTATATAAACAGGTGAACCTACTTTTATAAAGTGAGATAAATCTCTGTCGCCCTTTCCCTTAGGAATGTCTCCAGTTTTAAAATTTTAGTTCTTTATTTTATTTTAATCCAAACGCATTCATGTTTGAGAGCCAGGAATTAGTATTTTCCCTTGATTTTATTTCCCTCTTCCTCGTACTTTGTAAAATTCTGTGGGACAAGTAATAAATGCACACGGTGAAAAGTTCAATTCCTGCCAAAACATGATCTAGTCCAGTAAGGTGTTCTCCTCCCTTCATTTCCTTTCCCAAGAGGCAGCTGCTCTTAATAGCTTATTATCTGTCTTTGCAAAGATACTTTATATTTTCCTTTTTTAAAACACAAATATTTTACACATCATTGTGTTCCTTTGTTTTTTTCCACTTGGTATATTTAGAGATGGGAACAGACACTTTCTACCTTTAAGCTCTTTTCGTGGGCATTTGCCATTAACTTACGTATGGTTGCTACTGGGGACTCCCATATTACCCAGATAATATTGAGGTACAGAAGATAATTTCATTTTAGTGATTTTCACACTTTTTTAGCTTCCTCTCCTGCCCCTATGTTTAAAAAACTTTCACAGAATTCCTAATGCTGACTATATTTTCTGTAATTCTACGCTCACCACGGGCATATAGAACCCTGGGGCCCTCCTGGGATAGGTAAGCGTCTGGCTGTCCCAGCGCTGGGTCTGTTTCTGTGTTGAGTTGTCCCTAGAGATCTGGTCAGCCTCAGGATGTCAGTTCTGTCTGGCCTTCTTTCTGTAGGTTCCATCTCCTCCTGGGCTTTCAGTGCCCGGAGGACCCTAAGTCCAGAGGACTCGCCCTGTCTGGACCTACATTCTGAGGCCGTGCTCATCAGGGCATGTCCACAGCATAGTGCCCTCAGGGATTCCGTGGACCCCACCTCGCGCTCCTGTCTGTTCGTCGGTTCTGTATTGTGATAGGAATGCCAACCACTCTACTCTCAGTATTAGCTAGTGGTTACTTGACCTATAAAAATGGGGGAGGGGTGATGTGGGAGATACTTCCATTGCACCCAATTATCAGAAACATTCTGTACAAATCTCACTTTTGAAAACCATAACTTTTATTAATTTAAGAATATTACCAAAAGATCAACCCATTAGGCAGAAACAAAAATATGTATTTTATTAGTTTATAATTTTTTAAAAAAAATCTGGCTGACCTAAATAATCCTCAGTGTTTCTTATGAGTCATTTCTAGCTTGATAACACTATTCCTTCAATTATAAAATTTTTTGAAACAAAAATTCAAATATGCTGAAGTGGATAGAGCCTAAACATTAGAAATAGATGATTTTTTATGGTACTGTTTAAATTTGTACAATACCTTACATATCTGTAATAAAAAATATAAAATATCAGAGAAAATTCTGGATGATACTTTTATGAGGTACTGGAAAGGAAGTGATTGGGATTCCTGGTTATTTCTATGGAGAACAGTCACTTTTTTGTTCTGCAGAGTGTTGATACCACTGAAGGAAGATGTTGATAGTGAAATCCTTGAAAGAAGGGGTTGGTGGCGAGGGAAGGGTTTTATAGCTAGTAAGGAGCTTGTGTTCGTCTGTGAGACATCGGTCATTGCCTTGTCTGTAATTTTTTATCTCACTGGCTCTTCCCCCTGCAAATGTTCCCCTTCCATGTTTCATTTGAGATTTTCTTCCCATTTCATTGACCCTTTTTTCTGCTCAGTTACCTCACATCCTGCTTTCGTACTACTAACATTTGTTACTGTGTTTATTTTTCTCATGTCTATAAAGTTTCTGAAACTCTTTTTGTGTTATACTAACAAATAGTCTTCCTTGGCATGGTATTTATTAACTGAGCTAGTTTTCATATGTCAGTAGAAATTGCGTTTTAAACCTAAATACTTCTATTTGGTTTGCTTTTACAATGAAGCCATAAAGATTTCTTCCTGTTCATCTGGCTTGTAGAGAGTATTTACAAACAGTAAAGAAGAGAAACTGGCTTGTACTTAGCATCCAAGCTAATGTTGTTCATATTGTCTTATTAGAACACCTGGAGAGTGCAAGTTCTAACTCAGGTATACCAGCTGCACAGAGAGGTGAGTTCGTCTAATTGAGCAAATAGTCACCAAAGGTGTGGCATTCTGGCGTGGTGCATCAACATGCAGGCGCGGAGAAATGCACTGGGCAGTGGAATGGACGCCAAATGCGGCTTTACTGTAGTTAGAATGTGTCTCAAAAATATTAATAAAACTAATATTTAATTTTTTTAGCATTTCACAGTTTCCCAGTTTCTGAAAATAAAATGTATCTTTTTCATAATTTTATTATTATTATTTTTTTAGTTCAGTAGTAGTAAATGTTCTTTTCTTAAAAGGAGAACTTGTTAGGCTCACACCTGCTGCCCTCCCATGTGTTATCAGAAGCTTTGTTGCCAAAATCATACATGGAAAGAAAATATGGACAGAAGCCACCCTTTGGCTTTCCTGTGTGCTCATGGTAGAAAGAAGGTATTTTAGTAAAAGATAAGTCCACTAGTGATTTTTTTCATCTGTTCTTCATTTGACACTCATTTTTAGTTTTGATTTTAGAGTAGAAATAGGGAAGGCAATTATTCACAAAATTTGGATTGCAAGTTAAAGTCCTAAAATATAAACAGCTGAAACATTGTAAAGTAAAAAGAATGGGGGGGAAAGTTAGTTAAAACATAGTATATGGTCCTTTCACTGATATTTCTGTGAAACCCCGCTTCTGTTTTCCCTTAGAGACCACACAACTATGACATCACCAAAAACGCTCAGCCAGCTCACTGATAAATTGGTTTTGGACAAATCAGTGTCTAAAGCTTGACTCTTTACTGTCTTTCTTACCTGACTTGAAAGGGGCCATTCTTTTTCTGTATTACAGTTAAATTACGTCATCGGAAGGAGTGTTATGACGAGTAAAAGACGTCATACATATTTTTTCTTTGTTTTCTGTCTGTGTTTCCAGCAACGTCAGTTGATTACAGTTCCTTTGCAGACAGATGCAGCAGCTGGATAGAGCTCATTAAACTGAAAGCTCAGACCATAAGGCGCGGATCAATTAAGACAAGTAGGCGGATGTTTCTACCACATTATGATCTGAGAAGCATATCCCTGATTTCCCAGTGGTGAAGGCTAGACTTTTCCACGCAGTAATAACATTGCCAATCAATCATGTGTTGGAGTGTGAAAGCTGCAGACTAATAATGGTCAGTTAGCAGACGTTATTGAAGGGACTTTAGATTTATTTAAACTGTAGAATTGTGTTTTTAAAATTTTACTTTTTGTAAAGGTATTTTTAAAAGTATATAAATAGATATTATATTCTTCTAGTGGAAGGAAATTGTCAGCTCTCTTATTGAAAAGACCCTCTCCCAGGACCCAAGGTACTATCTAGCATATGACATGTGTCAGTTAACTAAGGGTGATATCAGAGGGCTAAAAGAAAGGTATTTCTGGAGAGAAAGTAGTTAACTCTTATCTCACTGTTAGAATCAAGATCATTATATGTTCTTTATCTATACTCCATGTGTTTTGGTAGATTTTGAGGCAAATGTATTCGAGTGTCAGAGTTTACAGTACATTAAAAGGGAAGGCTTTGTTCTAGAGGAAAGATCACAGGATATGGAACCAGTCAGATCTGGTTCTGAATCCTGGAAGTGCCATTCTAATAGCTGTGTGACCTTGGGCAAGTTATTTAACTTCTCTGAGCCTCAGTTTCCTCATGTTGAAAATGAGGATAATAATACCTAGAGTGCTAGGTTGTTGTAAGGATTAGATATATATATGTGTGTCTGGCTTATGGTAATTATTTGATTAGTGGTAGGTATTATTTATGTTATTTTATAAACAACTTTTAGACAGCCAAGGTCATTTTTAAGTTTTTAAAATTGTTGAGTTTGATCAAAATGGTTTGGAAAAGGAACCTATCACAACTAGTTAACATAAGGTTTATCTACAAGTTGACAATGATGAAGTCGTCTGAAAAAAAGATGGAAAAAACTGGGAAATATAACAACTTTCACACTCTCTTTGTAATAATTTGTTCCCACAGCAGATAATTTTTAATTGCTCTGCCGCTTTTTCTTTTTCTTCACTTTATACCGATCATTGTATGTGTAGCCACACCGCATCAACATTTTCTTTTGCAGGAATGCCATTTTTCTTCCAAAAGAATTCCATTCCAGCATCTCCTCTGTGTTTCTCTCTCTCTTTTAATTGCATGCAGTGCATGATAATTTCCTGTCTTTCATGACATGGCTTAGCCTCACAGACAGCTGAATGTTGTCACCACTTACTTGGAGGAAACCTGGGGGCGTAATTGGGCTACTGGCATCTAATCCTGGTGCTTTCTCTTCTCTCTCCAATTTTAGCTGTGACAGTTGAAAAAGCAAGTCCAATGAGTGAAGGAAATTTCCGGAATCGCTCTGCTCCACCTTGTGCAAATTCTACAGTTGGGGTTGTTAAGATGACACCTCTTTCTTTCATTCCTGGAGCAAAAATAACTAAATATCTTGGGATAATTAACATGTTTTTTATTCGGGAAACCACTTCTCTACGTGAGGTAATTTTATGGATGTTATTTCATTATTTTTGTGAATTGAAGATATTAGTGACAAAGCTGAACAAGTTTCAGTTTTTCCCCCAAAAGTAGCACACGCATTTCCCCCCCCCCAATAACCTGTCTGAATTGATTCTAGATTAGACTTACCAAATTTCATATAATAGCTAGTATTATCATAAGACTTATGAACAAAACAGATGGAGCGCCTGACCTGATGGAATTTACAGTATAGTGGAACTGGAGTGTCGTGGACATTAAATAATTATGTAGCTACTAGTGATAATAAATAATATAAAGAGATACAACAGAGGCCATGAGAAAATATAACGTGGGAACTGGCTTTAGATTTGACAGTCAGGGAAGGTGTCTCTGAGGAAGGTCCATGCCATCCAGGACCTAAAGAATTAGATAAGAGTTATCCTGGTAGAAAATTGGGTGACGACACTTGGAACTTTCAGGAACAGCATGTGCAAAGACCCTGAGGCAGGAAAAGTGCTTGACACTTTTGAGAAACTGATAAAGGGCAAGTCTGACTAGAACATGGTTCAGAAAGGAAGATATGGATAGCAGGGAGGTTTTATTGTTTATATGTATCATCAATTTATTCAAATGAGGATGGGAACAATTTGATAGGGAGAGATGTGGAAGATGGAGGAACGATTTGAATTCTTGATCTGCCATTTACTTACTAGTCATGTGATCGTAGCTAATCATGAGCATATTACAAAGCCTTTGAGCTTCAGTTTCATCATCTGTAAAGTAAGGATAGTAATCCCTGTCATAGGCATGTGTTCAGTAAAGGTTTGTTTGTTCATTCATGCAACAGATCCTCACAAAGGGCATTAAAATTATCCATCATATTAAGATCATTTAGGATGATTTCATATATTCTCTGACATTTTGTGTATGTTTATGCGTAAAGCATAGTTTGATTTTCCTGTGCATTGTGTAGGAAGGAGGCGTCAGTGGTTTTCTGCACGCTTTCATCGCTGAGGTGTTCGCCATGGTAAGAGCTCATGTTGCTGCCTTGGGGGGGAACGCCGTCGTCTCCTACATAATGAAGCAGTGCGTCTTCATGGAGAATCCAAACAAGAACCAGGTAAGAGGCAGTTAAAGACCCCTGACCAGAACGGGCCAACTTCCCCCGTGGCCTTCCCACCTGCCACCCTCCCCTGCAAAAGAGATTTTCTCTGTAGAGCTCTTTGATTCTCGATGCTTAGAACACGTTCTAAAGAATATGTGCATAACCATGGTCATACATGGGTCAGATGCTGTTTTCACGTCCCAGGTGACCAGTTATTCCAGGGTACTTTGGGAGTTTGGCTCTTCATTTACTACTCTTCATCACCTTCTTAGTGGCCTATGGAATACAGTGCTAGCTGACTGAGGAGAGTTAAAAATGCCATCGTTTGGTTCTAACTGCCATACTGGTGAAGAGTGCATCATGATGGGGGCACACTGTTTTGTTTTTAAATAAGTAATGTAATTCTGTTAATGGGGGCTAAATTGTATTGTTTAGCTTAAATTTTGGAATAAATTTCTTTTATTATTTTTGTTACGATAACTCATTTAAAATCGTTAAAGATTCCCTTAAAAATTAAATGACCATCATGATGTTTTTTTTTGGTTTACTTTCTTGTGAATTGCCTTCTTGTCCTTTGCTCATTTTTCTGTTGGGTTGTCTATTTTTTCTCTAATGACAGTGGTTCCCCTAGCGTAACAGAAGAGTCTGAGCATATTGTTGACTCTGTGACCGAACATGCCCTGTTGTTCTTACAGGCACAGTGTCTTATAAATGTCAGTGGTGATGCAGTGGTTTTTGTCCGTGAATCTGAATTAGAAGTGGTATCAACTCAGCAACCACCTGCCAACTGCCAGTCGTCGTGTCCAGGAGGAGAAGTCACAACCTGAAGCGAATTAGAAAGAAAGCTCTGCTAAATAAGATGTATCGTTCTCCATCGTTTTGTCATTATCTTCCTAGGCTTTTTAAAAATTGAACTTAATCTGAGATAATTAAAAAAGAATTGGTACAGTATGTGTAGATTTGATTTGTCTAGAATCTCTTGGAGTCATGAGAATTTCCTAATCTTGACATTTTGTTTGCCAAGCCTAGAGAGACAGGCCCCATGGAATCCTGACCCTTTAGTAAGTTAAGTTTCTCAGAGAACTGTAGCAAAGGTGGAAGATATTTGTAATTTATGTTGATTTTAGTAAAATCATAATTTACAAAATGAAATGGGGAGATCATCAGGATAGTTACCCTAGTGTAACTGAGAAAAGCTAAGCAGCAAATTTACAAGTTTAATGAAGAAATAGTCTGATTTGAGGGATGTGTGGGAAAAGGGAGAAAAGTTCTCAGAAAACTATGTGGTTTCTTAATATGTTTTATTTTAATGAGGAATTTGGTCACAACTGAAAGGGAGCAGTGCTTGAGCTGTCTTTTAAAAAGAAGTTAAAATTCTGCAGCTTGTATCCATAATATGTCTTAGCTACTGTAAAAGAAGACAGACTTATCAGTGCCGGTGTCCTTTTATTGAAAATTTAATTATATCTCTGAGCAAGGAGGGAAAAAAATTACTATATAACTTCATAAGTGTCCAATTTCAGTTGGTGCTTAATTTGTCTAGAAGAGGCTTGGCTTCAACAGGGAAGAAAAGTCCATGAACTTTGTTGAAATAATTAAAATATAATTGATCTAATAGGAACGTAAAATTATTTTCTAATAAAGTTGTAATGCACTTCTACCAAATAGGATTTTAGTAATGTCTTAGGGACTTTTGATGAAGAGTTAGACTGTATTTGGCATAGAACTTGGAAATGTAACTTGAATGTAAATATGCTGCAAAGTGTTGAATGTATACATAGGAATACTTTTTCTGTCAATGCCAAATACCTGTTACAGATGAACCTTAAAAAGTACGTTCTTCCTTTGCACAGTGAACTTTCTTTATAAAACTCATGATTTTGCTCTTCCAGGATGACAAACTGCCCTAAGGATGAGGAGTCATTTTCTTGTTATCACAGGTGTCAATATTTTTCTGTATTTTGTTTATAATTTTATTTTTTAAATAAAAATTTATAAGGATAAACTGGAATATTCCTCAATCTCTTTTTTTGCCTCCTTGGTACAGTACCGTCAGTAGTCAGGAATCACTTTGCATGTGATCGTCTCCATTCATTCTTCAGTTCTTAGTTTTGGGAGAAAACATATGTAATTGTGGAACTCTGTGTCTTTGGTAGGTAGGTATTTATTCAACAACTATTTATCAAAGGCCTATAGAACCCAGGGTGTAGTTTTAGACAGTAAAACACACCTAAGTTCCTGCTCTCATGGAGCTTATTTTCATGAGCTACACAAGAAAATAATTTACAAAATGTGACATATAGCCCTATAATGGTTGCTAAGGTTTATTGGATACTTACTATGTACCAGGCAATCTAATAAATATATTTTTGTATTAACCTTCTATAGAAACCCCATGAGGTAGGTACTGTTGTTAAGCTGAGAGTTTATGTGATTCACCCAAAGACACAATAAGTAGTGGAGTCAAGATTCAAGCACCGGCAATCTGGCTCTGGTAGCTACACTGTTAAGTGAGAAAATGTTTGTAGCTTGGAATGAGGGTAGCTTGGAAGCTTCCCAAAGGAATAATAATAGTTAAAACTCAGTCTGGAAAAATAGGCAGGCCACTGAAATTGACTCTTTGTTCATAGTTTTATTCATTCATCCATCCAGCTGCCATTTTATGATTCCCTCCTATATTTAAGATTCCTTCCTACCCAGGGGAGTAATTAGAGAACTGTCGCTAATTGAGTACCTGTTTAGTGTCATATCCTATGCATATACATTATTATTAATTCTTAAAATATAAAACTACATGAGTGGTGGCCGGCTGGGCATAACTCAGCGGTTGAGCGTTGGCCTAGGATCCAGGGGGTTGTGGTTTGATTCCCAGTTGGGGCACATACCTGGGTTGCGGGCTCGATCCCCAGTTGAGGGCGTGCGGGAGGCAGCCGATCAATCACTCTCATCGTTGACATTTTTCTCTCTCTCTCCCTCTCCCTTCCTCTCTCTGAAATCAATAAAGATATATTTGGAAAATAACAACAAAAACTAGATGAGTGGCATTCTCTCCACTTTGGTATGAACAATTGTGTACTCAACAGAGGCCCAGGCTGATTTCTAGGAAAGCTGGAGTTTCCTTAGCCACTCAAGGTTTGCTGTCTGACTGTTCACATGAACCCGTTAGCGCCTGTGGGCTGCCTTAGTACAGTCAGCTCACATGAAGATTGGCTCCTTCCAGGAAAGCTACTGTTACCTTGTGTCTCAAGAGCTGCTGCTGTTTCCCTCTGTGTGGACTCTCTTAGAGACAGGATCATTTTAAACAGACTCTCTTGGAAATACAGAGGCAACTTACAATAATTGCAGCATGTTTCATCTCATTCATTCTTCATTGCTGCTCCAAAGGTAAACCATACAATTTAACCAATATTTTTTTAGGTTTGCTACACTCACTGTCCCACTTCCTCCACTTCCTACTCTTTCATAATCCATTACCCTCTGGCTTCCATCTCCCGATCTGCCCCTGAATGTGAACATGCCACGGATACGAGTATTGGATTGCAGTATTGGATAGTTGGCAAGCTTATTTTTCCCCCATTGATTCTTAGAGAAGAAAGGGAGGAGGGAAGGTGGAGGAGGGGACGAAGAAGAAAACAACACAGTTATAAAGAATAAAATGGCATTAAATAACCTACCTATCAATAATCACTTAAAATGTAAGTGGCTTAAATGCTCCAATTCAAAGACATAGAGCAGCTGAATGGATAAGAAAATAAGACCCATATATATGCTGTCTATGAGAGACCCAGCTCAGAACGAAAGATTACACAGACTAAAAGTCAAAGGGTGGCCCTGGCCGTGGGGCTCTGTTGGTTGGAGCATCATCCGTACACCAAAAGGTGGCAGGTTCGATTCCTGGTCAGGCACATACCTACCTAGGTTGCAGGTTTGTCCCTGGTCGGGGTGAGTACAGGAGGCAACCCATCAATGTTTCTCTCTCACATCAGTGTTTCTCCCTCCCTTCCTCTCTCTCTCAAACCAATAAACATATCCTTGGGTGAGAATAAAAAGAAAAGTAAAGGGATAGAAAAGGTACTTCATGCAAATGGACTGGAAAAAACCTCGGGCAGCAATACCTGTATCTGACAAAACAGACTTTAAAACAAAAGCTATAATAAGAGACAAAGAAGGACACTACATAAAATTGTTATAAATTTAAACTCTAGAGATACATAGTTACCATATAGTTACTCTACTTATGGTGATAGCGAATGTGAAACGCTTCCAAAAACTCAGAGTAAAAATAGTCTTACCTCTTTTACTTTTTCAATTAATTTTTGAAATGCCCACCGAACTAATTAGCAGAAATCCAGAATCTCTCGCCTTTGAGGTCATCGCCACTTAAAATTGTCCAAAAACTAGGTGCTCAGTGCAGTCCCCAGAAGTTAAGTTCAGCTTCCACACCCAAGCTGTGACAACACAGGAACCTCTTTGGTCCACTGTTGCATTTGCTTCTCACTGCCACAGGGCGTCGCTGTTGGAATGGGTTCTGCACAGTAGAACCCTAGATGTTGGTCTTCAGCAGTGATGCCCAAAGCTGGCCAAGACTCCTACACAGGTTTCCAGGATTCTTTACCAGGTAGTCTTATTTTCTCTGAGCCTACTCCATCCAAAGAAATCTGAAAGTTTTGGGTCTTAGTGTTCAACTTAATTGTCAGCTGAGTTGTGACAAAATAATTCTAGTTTTCTCATGTTTTTCTCTAGTTTTCTCATTTTAGAATAGTTTGTTAATTTTTATATGAAAAACTGCTGGTATTTTTAAAAAATTGACGTTGTGTTGAAATGTAGATAAATTTAGGGAGCATTCACAGCTTAATATTGAGTCTTCCAATCCATGAATATGCTTCTCTATGTCTTGCTTGATTTATTTCATCAATATTTTGTAGTTTTCAGTACACAAATCTTTTTGGGGGGAGGGGGGATTTATACCTAAGTACTTCATGTTTTTTGGTCCTATTATAAGTGGGTACTGTTTTAATTTTAATTTTCAGTAGTTATTAATTTTTACTGTATACAAATACAATTATTTTTTACCTTGATCTTGTGTCCTGCAGGCACATATTGATTCCAGGAGGGTTTCTTTGGTGATTTGGAAGAAGTTTGTTTTTGTTTTTGTTTTTTTAATTTATCTTTATTGTTGAAAGTATTACAGGTGTCCCATTTTCCCCCCCAATTGACCCCCTCCACCTCGCTCCCCCCCTCCCCAGACCTTCA